TGTGAGAGGTATAAATGGGGACATGTTGACATGAAAGGCCCTTGAAAACAAAATTCTATGGAAGAACCAGGGGTTCCTGTTAAGGGAGTAGCAAAGAGGCTCCATCTCAAGAATTATTACTCATCCTCTGTAGTTTAGGTCTATAATATAGCAACAGATTTTTCCTGCTTGCCCCATCCAATTCCTGCAACTGTAATGGCGTTGAAAGTTGCCAAAGGCAATAGCAAAACAATAGTCATTTGTTAATGGGAAAAGCTGTGATTTTAAAATTAACTGAAGAAAGTAACTGCTGAAAATGAAGGCTTGATTTCAAAGACATTTTGGAAATCTGCATTGGTTTTGTAACACCAAATTATTTTAGATATTTTTATATTTAAAAAATATCAGAGACCTGTTTTCCAGAAGATTCCAATGGAGAATACTCCAGGCTAAATGCAGATAAATAACAGATACTCAACTTTTTCACATATTAAGTTAAAGGTAGTTTATTTCAAACATTTGTGCAAGTACTTTAGGAATTTCAGATAAGAGCTACCACATTGCAGCCAAGGTACCACATCTGGCTCTTCATACCTGATATACCCTAAATGTTGTTTGTAAATACAGTCTTATGAGTGTGTTAGGAAAGAGATATAAAATGTGTTTATAAAGTGAAGAATGCTTTCAAACCCCCAAATTGGGTTACCATGTAAGTCTGCTTTCAAAATCAGATTTTCTAAAAGCACAGACTACCCACAGTGTTGTGTACATTAAATACACAGAGCTATTTACAGAGATTAGTAAAAAGGGCTATCTTCATGTAAGTTTGTTAACACTTTCAGGAGCACCTACCACATCACTGATTCAGAATCTAACAGAGAACCTTTAACTTTGAGGAAAACATGTACTTCACTGAAAATTTCAAAATATAAGGTATTACAGAATAACCAGGATTTATGTCTGGTGTCCTGGTTTTTGTGGTTGCCCCCGAGGGGATTCCCTTTGACCTCCGGCGGGCACTGGTGTTCCTGGGTCCCATGGGACTGTAACAATCAGAGAAAGAGAGAGATCTTGGCTGGCTACCACCTCCAGGGCACTTCGCAGATAGATACACACCCAGGTTTTCTATGAAAGAAGCCTCTTTGCTTGTCCTGGAGGGTTTGCCCTAAGGGACAGGCTTTAGGCTTGCCACACGCTAGAGGCGCTTGGAGGTGGTCCCAAGGAATGTAGGCCAGGGTCTTTGCATTCTCCCTCCACTTGGCTCCAGTTCACTGGTTAGTCCCAGAAAAGAGCTTACACACTTGACTGGCACTCCAATTTTTCTGACTGCTGCTCAGAAGACACCTTCCAGATTGCCTGGCTCTGGTAGCCAGAGGGGCATATGCTTACAGTTCCACAGAACTGCACATATACACACACTTTAGAAACTGCTTCCTGAGGGGGTCCAGCTTCCATTCGGTCTGTGTCTAGATGCTGACTGAGTGAGATCCTCCCTCATGGGACACTGACAGGTCTTGGAAAATTCTCAACTACTGGGAGCTATTAAAATATATATAATAGACTGCTTGGACAATAACAAAGGTTTGAGAAACAACCAGGAAAATTCACAAATACGTGAAGAGTAAGCAACATGCTACTGAACAACTGAGAGGTCCAAAAAGAGAAGAGAAGTAAAAAAAAATAATAACTGAGACAAACAAAAAGGGAAATAAACATACCAACATTTATGGGATAGAGCAAAAGTACTTCTAAGAGTAAAGTTCATAGCAATAAATGTTACCTCAAGAAACAAGAAAAAAGTTCAAATAAACAACCTAGCTTTACAACTCAAGAAATTGGAAAAAGAAGAACAACAAAGTTCAAAGTTAGTAGAAGGAAGGAAATAACAAAGATCAGAGCAGAAACAAATAAGAGACTAAAAAAGACAACAGAAAAGATCAGGGAAACTAAAATGCTATATGAAAAGATAAACAAAACTGAAAACCTTAGTTAGACTCACTACGGAAAAAAAGAGAGGACGAGGACACAAATAAATAAAGTCAGAAACCAAAGAGTTATGACAATTGATACCACAGATATACAAAGAATCATAAGAGACTATTATGAATAATTACATGCCAACAAATTTGACAACCTACAACAAATGAATACATTATTAGAAACGTAATTTATCAAGACTGAATCATGAATGGAAAACCTGAACAGAATGGTTACTCACAAGGAGACTGAATCAGTAATCAAAACCTCCCCCCCAAAAATGAAAATCCAGGACCAGACAGTTTCACTGGTAAAATTCAAATAATTAATACCAATCCTTCTCAATTCTTCCCAAAAAATAGAAGAGGGAATACTTCCAAACTCATTTTACAAGGCCAGGATTACCCTGACACCAAAATCGATAAGGATGCCACAAGAAAATTAAATTACAGGCCTATTTCTCTAATGAACATAGATGCAAAAACTTCAACAAAATACTAACAAACCAAATTCAACAATTCAGTAAAATTATCACAGGCCATGATCATATGGGATTCATTCCACTGACACAAGAATGGTTCAACATCCACAAATCAATCAATATGATACACCACATTAACAAAATGGAAGATAAAAATAATATGATCATCTCAATAGGTACAGAAAAAGCATTTGACAAAATTCAACATTATTTATAATAAACACTCTTAATATGTGGATACAGAGGGAATAATAAAAGCCATATAAGACAAGCCCACAGCTAACAACATACTCAGTGCTGAAAAACTCGAAGTTTTTCTTCTAAGACCAGGAATAAGACAAGGTTGGCTACTTTCCCCAGTTTTATTCAACATAGCACCAGAAGTCCTAGCCACAGCAACTAGGGAAGAAAAAAGATTAAAAGGGCACCCAAACTAGAAAAGAAATAAAACAGGCACTATTGCAGGTGACATGATGTTGCATATAGAAAACCCTAAGGAATCCACCAAAAACCTATTTGAATAAAGAATTCAGTAAACTTGCAGGATACAAAATTAATGTAAAAAAATCTGTTGTATTTCTATACATGATAATGAAAACAAATAATTCTATACAAAAGAATGAAACTGGATTGCATACACAAAAATTAACTCAAAATGGATTGAAGATTTGACCATAAGACCTGAAACCATAAAGCTCCTAGAAGAAAACATAGACAGTACATTTCTTGACATCAGTCTTGGTGATGATTTTTTGAATCAAACACCAAAAGCAAAAATAAACAAGTGGGACCACATCATACAAAAGAGCTTCTCCACAGCAAAGGAAACCATCAACAAAATGAAAAGGCAATCTACTGAATGGGAGAAAATATTAGCAAATTGTATATCTGGTAAGAGATTAACGTCCAAAAATATAAGGAACTCACACACCTCAATAGCAAAAAAATAAACAATCCAATTAAAAGTGAGCAGATATGAATAGATATTTTTCCAAAGAAGACATACCAATGTCCAACAGGTACATGAAAAGATGCTCAACATCACCAGTTATCAGGGCACTGCACATCAAAACCACAATGAAGTATTGTCTCGCATCTGTTAGAATGGCTTTTATAAAAAAGACAAGAAATAACAAGTTTTGGTGAGGAGGCAGAGGAAAGGGAACCCTTGTGCACTGTTGGTGGGAATGCAAATTGGTGTAGCCAGTATGGAAAACAGTATGGAGATTGCTCAAAAAAATTAAAAGTAGAACTACCATATTATCCAGCAATTCCACTTCTGGGTATTTATTGGAAGGTATCAAAAATACTAAGACAAAAAGATGTATCTCCCATGTTCATTGCAGAATATTTACAATAGCCAAGATATGGAAACAACCTAAGTATATACCATTGGATGATTAGATTAAGAAACAGTGATATATATACATATACACAATGGAATATTATACAGCCTTTTAAAAAAGAATGAAATCTTCCCATTTGCAATGACATGGATGGAACTCAAGGGCATTATGCTAAGTGAAGTAAATCAGAGAAAGACAAAATACTGTGTGATCTAAGTTATAAGTGAAATCTAAAAAAAAAAAAAAGCCAAAACCCAAAAAAATTGAGCTCATAGGTACAGAGAATAGACTGATAGCTGCCAAAGATGGGTCTGGGGGTGGAAGAAATGGGTACATGGGGTCAAAAGGTACAGAGTTCCAGTTATAAAATGCAGTCATGGGATGTAGTGTACAGCATGGTGACTATAGATAGTAATACTATGTTACATACTGAAAGTAAGAGAGTAGATCTTAAAAGTTCTCATCACAAGAAAAAAGATATTTTTATAACTAGGTAAGATGACAGATGTTAACTAGACTTACGGTAATCATTTTCCAATATATACAAATATCAAATCATTATATTATACACCTGAATCAATATAATGTTATATGTCAATTGTACATCAATTTTTAAAACACTTCAGAATTAAAAAAATAAATTAGAATAACCAGGGATCACAAACAAGCTGGAGATTTTCATGGTTACTCTCAATGTCTATCAGCTCACTAAGAAAAATACAATCAATTCATTGTATAAAAATGACATTTATACTATTCAAATGTTTGTTTCCTGTTGTAGTAGAAACTATCAAGACCAAAATGCTGTCTGTTGTATCATCACTGACATAATTTACCCCAAAATAAAATAAAGTTTAAAAGAAAGAGCTAACAGGGTAGTAACACACACACACACACACACACACACACACACACACACACACACAGCCTTTTCTATTTCCTGATTTAACAAAAAAAAAATGTTCTAGGGAAACTGCAAACCTGATTGAAAAATCTGGTAATCTTCCCTTTGATTTTCTGCATCACTGTCTATATGAATTATTTGGCATGGGTGAATTGTCTTGAATGTTTTGGTGCATGTATTTCTTGTCTGTACAACTGCACAGTGAGCTCCTAGAAACAAGTTTGCTGTGATGGTAAGCCTTATGCCTTATATATAACCTGGGCATCTTAAGCATTGATTGACATGCACATTTTCAGGGAGGAGCCTGGTGAGATACACTTAAAACCTTTATTCATTGATGTACAAAATATACAACATTTACAAAATTTAGGCATTAATCCCTTATTAAATGAGTGCTATGGGGAGTCTAAAAATAAATAAGTGGCACATAGGTTAATATACACACCACGGCTCTTTACACTTCGAGCTGCCCCCAGTGGTGGGATTTAATGGAAAGTTTAATGTGGTGGAAAAGTCAGATGCATACAAGTTCTGGGCCTTCCACATGAATGGCCATGCCTCGGCTCCTTGAGCTGGGGATGGCAAGCAAACCACTTTCTTTCAAGAGAATGAAACACCAGCCATTGTGAGAGACACACAGGGTACATGCAGCCACATCTGTGTGGAGCTTGCTGTGACCCCCTGGGTGGCAGGTATGTCCACATCATGGTGGACCTGGGTCCTGCACACCGGCTTCGAGGTGGTCACTTTCTCAGTAAGAACCAACATTTGTGTCACTCAAACTGCATGCAATATGTGGAAGGTGTCAGTGGAGAGTGATCATGCAGAAAAATGGTACTTGTAGATATGTACATCAATTTTTCATTGTTTTATAGCTTCTTTAGATGGGAGATTAACCCATCTCCTCTTTTAGCAAGAGGAATGAATGAGGAAGACATACCTGCACGCCCAACCTCCCCAAAGAAAAAAATACCATCTAGAGAACACATGCAAAGGGCACCCTGCAGAGGCGGGACTAGACAAACTTCACATGATAAGACAGACACATGCCATGGTTAGGCTGGAAGTTTCCCTAGAGGTAGTAATTCCACCTCCCCTTCCTCTTCCATCCCACCTCATCTTATGTAACCTAAGGGGGAACGAAAAGGCTTAATGTTATTGAGCTTCTGAGAGCCTCAGTACCTTCATCTGTAAAGTGTCAATACTAGTAATATTCCTTACAGGGTGTTTGCAGGGATATCCAACCTAATGTAGGTAAAGTGCTTAGCATAGTGCCTGGCACATAAGAGGTGCTGAATAAATGTCTTGTTTCTCTCCCTCTACTTTCCCTACCCCAATTATAAGCAACCCCAATTATATTGATAATGTGTTAACTATTTCTCAAACTCTGATTTAAGGCCATTTGATGCAATTTATTCTAATATCAGTGTTCCTCCCATCAGCTCATATTTGGTCTCTGAGGAGGGTCTCATTTTATGAGCCAGAGACACTTTCCTGTGCAGGGCAGAGAGACCCTGACAATACTCTTCTCATCAGCAATGACTCTACCAAATTTCATGCAAATATGTCGCATAACCTTGCACAGAAACTCATATCAGTGATGGTGACCACCTGAATACTTCTGGGACACCACCACTGAGGAAAACAATGAGTAAAAAACTTGAGCCCAACACATTACTCTTGTTCAAACATAAGTTAATTTTTTCAACACTGGTGCAAGTATTATAGATACTTTCAACAAACATATATTACAAGCTCTACCACTGTTGAAAAATAAGTATTCTAATTTGATTGTTTTGTTCAGAATAAAGTACTTTTTACAATATATTTTACTTTCTAGTTATGCCATACAAAAATAAATATTGTATAAATGACTTACAAGGAAAAAGAAAAATTGTAACATGAATGCCAAAAATATAGGAAGGATGGTGGAAATTTTATCATCTACTTCAAAAGCAATCATCCAAGAGAAATAAAAACTTCCCACTGGGTCTCCTTACTAATCTCACCATCCCTACTTTTCATCCTAGAATACTGTCTTCTTTATCAGTGTCAAGACAACTTCATGAAGAACCTTTTCCCTAAAGTCACTGGGGATTGAAAGAGGAAGAACAGGGAGGGCTCTTTGGCAGTATGAACAGCAGATGGAAGAAAACCTGGCTAAGCCACTTTCTAGGTCCTCACGATGAACTAGAATCAACCTTCACACATCTCCTTTCTTCCATTCTGCAATCCTCTCTTTCATCTTGGTTAGCTATGCCTGAATAGAACCCTATGACTGGAGACAATAACCCCATTTTACTTTACACATCTTTAGAACTCTTTGGCCACCCATTGGTCCAGGTGGCATCCTGGAATGCTCTCATATAGCACAATTAGGTGCCAATCAAGGCCAATCTCACCAATTACATGAAAGGATAAGCAGCTACTTTATGGATGCTAGTTTCATTAAGTTGGGAAAAATCCTTCTCCAGCCACTCCTGCCCCCATACAAAAAACTTTTATGATTGCCTTTTTATCTCCCACACAGAGTACAGGGAATATGAGTCCCTCCATTGGTAGAAGAATGTTGGGAAAATTAAATTGGACAATGGCTTACTACATTTCCAGAGACTCGGAATCTCCAAGGAAATACTCCATTCACTTTGAAATCAAAGTTTTAAAATTCCAAAGCTATAAATGAATTATGATTGTATTTAAACTAGTGTTCCTTAATCTTTTACCTCAAAAACACACATCTATGCATGTCCATATTACATCGCATAAGATCTCTGAGGATCCCAGGACCTCCTGTGGCTCATGCATGTATTCTAAATTAAAAGCCTCAGATCTCAATAAATGCAGAACTACTTCCTGGAGCAAAACCAAAGGTGTGTGGTATAGAACTCAGGGGTATTTTGAGGGCAGGTTGGCTTTGACAAGGTCTTGGACTTGAAATTAAGTGCACTGAAGCAATGCTTGACACGTAAGTGGGAAAGCTGGGCCATGAAGACATTGACAAAGTGTTGTGGGTTCACATGTGTGACTACTGTCAGGCCAACGACTCATGCACAACATGGACCACTGAGAACCCCCGGGATTGTGACCACACATGGCGCCTTTCAGCTGCTATGACGTGATTGCCAACAACACCCACAGGCAGGTCACTATCACTGGTACACAGTGTGGGCGCCCATTTGTCTGATTTATGGGTGATGTTGTGGCAAACGTGGCATCGGTTTCGTTTCGGGGAAGTGGCAAGTTACAGATATTTCCTTCACAACAGGAAGTGCAGACCTGAAAGAAAGGAAGAGAAAAAGAAGAGTGAGGAGAAGCGGGCAGGTCTTGCAATAAGCAAGGAGCTTTGAAGGAATGGACCCCCTCACGACAGGACCTGTTCTACAGAAGAGACCCCAACACTACACTGAAGGGCCGGGGTGGGGGTTGGGGGATAGAAATCTCAACAGGGAGCAGTGTGGTCAAAATGAAAACCACCTGGGCTCAGTTAAGGAGCATGGGTTCTGTTTCCGACATCCCATAGGGCCGGCACAGCTTTACAGCCTTCTTAGGTCTCAGCTGCTCCACCTGTGAAATGCGGATCACAATACCCTACCTTGTTCAAAGCTCAGAGGCCCTTTCTGCCTACCTGAGGCAGCCGTTAAGAGGGTAAACTTTCACTTGCTAAGTTTTCACAGTAAAAGTGAAGTGGCAACAACTGGGAAATTTAAACTTAAGTATTTACTTTCATTAGAACTGCCAGCAAAATTATCTCCATGCTCATGGGTGAGTTAAAGTTTGAAGGGATTTCATTAATGCAATTACTTCTCTTTTATACCACTTTATTCATGGGTAAGAAGAAACCCAAAAGATTATTGACAGAAATTATTTAGTACAGATCTACAACTTCAGCATCAACTGGGAGCTTATTAGAAATGCAGAATTTCAAAGCTCACCTCAAACTTAGTGAATTAGAATCTGCATTTTAGTAAGATCCCCAAGTGGTTCAGATGCACAGTAATGTTTGGAAAACTCTGTAATGGTTAACATCCTCTGTGGTCATTATCCTGCAGAGATGTGAGTCTGGTCACAGAAGACATGGGCTAGGAAGACATTGTAATGTTGAGGAGAGAAACTGGAGGTCAGAAGTGAGTTTGAATTCTATCTCTGTTACTGATGAGCTGTGGGACCTGAGCAGATGATGTCACTTCTCTGATCTGTAACTTCCTCCTTAGTAAAGCAGCTACCATGGTGCCAGAGAGCAAAGCCTAGCTTGCTGGGGGTGGGGGTTCACATAAACCCTTCGGTTTACCTTTTATATTTCTAAACAGGAACAAGTAGACAGATTATATCTTTAATTTATTTCTTAGTGTATTCAACAAGTTGCTTGAAAATTAGGTATCTTAGGAGAAAGACGCCTCAACTAACAGTGCCATTCCAGGGTATTGAGAGCGGGGCTGTCCCTGAACACCAGGAAGGCAGCTCCATGACAGGTGGGCAGATTCCAAATAAAGGCCAAGGTCTGACATACAAGACCACACATAGAGCCAGCTCTTCCCAGCAGGAGAGTCGGGCCCCCTTTCCCTGGTTTTTTATATTCTCTTTCAAGGCCACAAAGTTTGTTTTATACTGAGTGCTTCTATCCAGCACCAGATGGAGTTAAGGAAACCCAGAAGGAAATGGTCCTCTCATTATCTGCTCAACTGACTTAGGAGCCAATGGACACCTTCCAAATCAGCATCCCAGTGAAGACATGAGCCTCACTTTATAGACAGTTATCAAAGCTAAACAGACTCGGCCCTCTGCAGCTGCATGAATCGTCACTACATCTGCAATGCTTTACCAGGGGGACGGGAGTGGCTCCCTGCTCCTCTTCCTTCTGGTAGCTTTATCACTTTCTTGGGAGTGAAGAAAGGGCTTACAGTAATTTTCAATTCCCATTTACTGTTGGGTTTACATAATTTACAGCAGCTGTCCCAAGCTCTGGTATAAATCTTTAACCTTTCAGAGCAACAGAAAAGAAAGCATCTTCTCATGATGGTATAAAGACAATCGAAAGCCAGCCTACGTGGGTGGGGTGGGAGAGGGGAAGTAGGAATTCACTCATGAGCTCGGGCAGGGGTCTGGGGAGAAGGAAGCCTGACTCTGCCGCACCAGCTGCTTCGGTGCCCAGACCTTGTGGCCCTCATGCTCGGAGTCTCTGCAGCCGGTGGACAAGCACTCCTCCAGGGCAACACAGCGTTTGGTGACAGAGATGCTGTTTCCTGTGACTTCCATTGTGTGCTGAGTGTAGCAGTATCTCGTCTCTATCAACAGAGAAAATATATTTCAGTTGAGACAGTAAATATCAGCCCAACCTGCCTGAAAGGGAAACAACAGGAGTGAAACACTACAAGTCTTTAAAGATCCGACGTACATGGGATGTACATGGGGTTGAGTTCACGTCCAATCCCAAAGATGTCCTTGGAGAGATGCACGTCACCGTGGCAGGAGGGCCTTCTGAACAACAGCGGTCTCTGCCTGTTGTGATCCCCACAAACAAAGATGCAGTGGTACCACTCTTCGCCGTTCAACAAATTTTGCCACTGGACTGATTTTTATTCTTTGGAGGTGCAGAGTTTTGGAGGAATGATTTAGGGTGTCATGGCAACTTTCAAGATGATGAAAGGTTGAAAAAGTACAAACAACACAGGGTTGATAAAAGCTAGGCAGGTAACAACGATCTTCAAGGAAATGGTGTGTGTGTGTGTTTTGAAACAGATATTCCCAAGTAAGGGCAGAACAGTTAATTTTATCTGGAATGAAAATAGATGTTTTTCATCCAAAAGAAAGAACTTTGTGCCAGTGGGTATAACTGAATCCTGGAATTCATCGCAGACGAAAACTAACCCAACAATGAAGGTGTTTCAAAACTGAGGAGACCATTTCTCCATAGCAGGATTTCAGTGTCTTTTTAGGATGGCAGATGAAGACGATAATGTCAATTTCTAGAAGTCCCACTAAGTCTTAGGAGTCTTGTCCAAAATTCCATGGAGAAATTTTCTATTTGTAATTTAAAGACTAAAGAAAAACGTCCTTGTCAATGTAATTTTTAAGGCCTCTAGGCGGTGTTCAGCTTCCTAAGACTGGAATTTAGGAGAATGTTCCTACTCTACTTTCAGATTAAAAAAGAAAATGAATAATTCTTAAGGTATGTCCCTGAGCTGTTTTTCATCCATATCTTGGAATCAACTTTGCACGCTTTATAGATTTTGGATATTCAGTGGCTAACAAGGAATTATGATCTTCTGTGACATTATTCATTAGGAAATAAAAAATCCCCTCCACCACGAGATTTTTGTCACAACTTTGGCAGCTTTTAACCAAAGTACTAATGTTCAAAGACAAAAGCTTAAAAATTTTCGGCCCTCAGAATGAGCTAATAGAAAGCACACTGACACTTCTTAGGGGTCATGAAAATTTAGGTGTTTTAGTAATTTTCTTAGACACCCCCACCTGATGGGGACCCGAGTGGCCTCTAATTCAGTCCCGTTAAGAGCAGGCTTTCCCGGTGGTTACACTATTGCTGGGTGTACCTGGGCTGAGCCTGTGTGAATACACCCCTTCCAAATGCTGCCCGCACATTGCTCCCTAACCAGAATTTTGTTAGTTGGGACCTGGTCAAGGCAGTCTTAGCTTGCTCAGGGTCCCAGAGAGCTCTTTGGGAGTGGGGTAAGGAAGGTCACCCTATGGGCTCATCAGAAAAGTTGAAAGTTTTACACCTGGCAATGATTCTCTTAAAGCCTTAATATTTTTAAATTAGAGTGATTGTTTTCCTGACGAAGAAGAGATGGCAGGTCTCCTCTGATTTCTTATCTTTTTAAGCCTTTGGGAGTTTTTAATAAATGGAGGCCAGTGGCCTGCGAGATTTACCACATCTTCCTATAAGGACTGGTTTACTTCTTTGGTATCAGACTCGGGCATTTATGGCCACAATACACCTTTCCCACTCCAGGCCCAACTTCAGATGTTTAAGAAAGCAATAAAAACAGGAATGTTCTTATCTCCTGTCTCCTCTTCATGCAGACAACCAAGAGTAGCTGCCAGAGGTTTTATTGCTCCAAATGTAAATCTGAGCAGATAAGATCAGACATTTATGCAATAAGTAAATCATTATTACATGGTTTCAGCTTGGAAAATTAAGTTTGTCCCCTAAGTATTGAATTCTCTTGTTTTAAGTAAGCCTTTATATAACAATTGGTGAACTTGATAGAATTGCTTCTTGTTCATACTTAATGTCCATAACAAAGTCTCTTTTATTAATTGGAAGCTTATTCCATTAATAAAAGTAGAGACAATGACTAAAGAACATTTTTTTTCAGGAATGTATGCAAAAACCAAGTACCTAATAAGCCAATTCTTGCTATTCTCAGGGGAGAAGGGCAATAAGTGATGAGGCTGGATAAGAATTTTTTCTCTTACACTTCATCAAGCCCAATCTATAAAACAAAGATAGGTTGAGAACACCCTTCACTTCCAGAAGTACAGAACTCAGATCCGAAGCATTCATTCCTTAAAAGTATCCATTCCACCTTTTATCTTACAAAACCCCTAGGTGAGTTATGAAATGTTCATATGGAAAAAGGTTCTGTGGTTAAATAAGTTTGAAAAATACTCAAAGTCAAACAGGTTTCTTTAGAGCACAACTTAGGAGAGCCTTGAATTTGTATTGTGATTTTTCAAGAGGGGCAGGGACAGCAGGCAGAATTTCCCAAGCAGAACTAGGTGGACTGCATGTGGCTTATCAGTGGACTGAGGAATTGATAAAAACTGAGTTTCAGCCACAGAGCATTGCTCTCCATGCATTTTGAATAATCCTTGAGTTAGTAATGAAGTTATATGAGAATCAAACCTGCTGATAGCTTCACACTAAAAGGATTTCAAAGGCTTTTATCTAAAAGATAAAAGATGGATTTGAATTTCTACCAGGTTAGTTTTGGCCTTTAAAATCTCATATTCTGCAACTATATGGTATTCCCAGAGGCTGTGAAAGAAAAGTCTTTTACTGTAAGAGTCATATAGGCATGCAACTAAAGTCAGAGCTTAATAAGGGCTTAATCAAAAATTGGAAAACACAAGATATAATTTCCATGAAATTCACATACACACACAAATTCCATAACTTGGTTCTGAAACCAAAAACAGATTCAAAGATAAAATGTAAATTTCCATTTACTCATCAAGATTCAGTTTCCAATAACAGAAACTATATTTAAAGAAAATACACATAAAATGATTTGAATTAAAAATGACCAACTCTCTGGTAAAAGGCTTTCTCAGCACTCGGTGATTCTCTGGGGCTCGGCTAGTTCTGGTTTCTTTACAAACATATATAGTGATTAAAGTGATGCAAGGGAACAATTCACCAGGTGCAAGAAAATGAATGGGAGGAAAATGATTTTAATCAGAGTATCACAAATTATAGTGAAAAATAAAAGGCTAGTGGCATCTGCCGACACACTCCCTGTGTGATTCCTTCATGTCTTGTCCTGCTCCTTCCAGGTTGTCCTCTGCAATGACTGTTCACCCATGTGTCCAATCCCTCACCCTTATCCCATGTCTGATCCCGAAGGATTTCTTTGCAGCTCTGGGCTATACTATGTATAATCTCTGTGGGATTCCCCACTCTGGACTTCATAGTTTTGTCTTCTAGATTTTCTCCTGCATCCCTGTTCTCTTCTCTTTCAACTTACCCTAACCTGAATGTCAATATTCTTCACATTCTTGAACTGATTCTCACTCAAGGGACCTTATCTAACCTCCAGTGACATTATCTTCTGTCTGATTCTCTCTCCTTGTCTATAGAACCAAATTTCCAACTGTCTCCTGGACACTGCCAGCAACTGCTCACACCTCATGTGTGTTAAACACATCACACATCACATTATCTCTGTGCCTCTCCCATCTGCTATCTTCCTATGTTTCTATCTCAGGAGGGGACATCCTGAGATGTGGCACCTCTGTCTTGGATTAGAAACTTCAAAATCAGCTCAGACTTCCCTTCCCAAGCTGGGTGTCTCCAAGTCCTCTAAAATGTCTCCATTGTCCATCTAGTCTTTCCTGTTCCATTTTCCATTTTCCCAATGCAGGACCTCATCTTTTCCTGTGTTGTCTTTGACCTCTTCCCTTTATAATGCAGGTGCTGGAAAATTAACTGATAGATGACTGAAACCAAGGTCAGATCAGGCCACTCACTGCCTATGAAAGCACGAATGGCACCGAACTCAGTGACCAGCAGGTGGTCTGCTGCTCTCTCTCTGCTCCAGAGGCTGTGTGTCAAGAGTGTAAGAGTACCTGTGCTTCCTGGCTAGAAGCGTCAATTCCTCAGAGCGCAGCGTTTGAAACTCAGCACTGTTATTACTCAAGGTAGGCCCCAGGCTACCTCATCATTGCCTACTAGATAAGACACCATGCCACCACTTTTGACAACTCCTCAGAACAAAATTTTTCTCCTATCTTCTGTTCATAGAAACTTGATGTTCTTCTGTTCACAGAAACCTGATGCTCTTCAAGGTCCAACCCAAATGCTTTGAGTTCTGAAATCTTCCTTGATTTACCTCCTAAAGAGATTCACAGCTCTTCTCAGTTTTCTTATTTGGTATGTCCGGTTTTCCTTCTAAGAAGATCAGAGTTTCTCAACCTTGGCACAATTAGCAATTTTTTTCTATTGGTTGATTTTGTTTTTTAAACTTTGAGATAATTGTAGATTCACATGCATGTGTAAGAAATAATACAGAGAGACCTCATGTAGCCTTTACTCAGTTTTCCTTGAAAAAAAATATGGTAACATATTGCAAAACGATAGTGCAATATCACAATCAGGACATTGACACTGACGCAGTCAAGATACAGAACGCTTGTGCCCACAAGGATCACTCTTGTTGACTCCTTATACTCACCTCCTCTTCCACCTGCTCCCACCCTCTGCATAACCCTTGGCACCACCAATGTGTGCTCCCATTTCTATAATTTCATCTTTTCAAGGATGTTATCAAAATGGAACCACACCATATGTAAATTTGGGGGATTGCGCATTTTCCTTAGCCTAATTCCAAGTTAGCCAGCTTGTTGTGTTTACCAACAGTTTAATTTTTATTGCTGAAAATATGTCATGCTATGGATGAACCAGAGTTGGTTCAATCATTCACCTACTGAAAGGATATATAGGTAGGGGATATTATTAATAAAGCTGCTATCAACATTTGTGTAGAGATTCTGGTGTGAACAAAAATTTTTCATTTCTCTGGGATAAATGCTCAGAAGTGGA